GACTTACGCGGATAGGTGCAAAATGTATAGACTTCAGCCACTTTGGTTAAGGCGCCTGAAACTCAACCTTACATTCCTTTTTCGCCTTTTACATGGCTACCTCAAAAGCAGTAATCCAATAGCTTTCAATAATTTAACCATATATACTCTTAGAAATCATGAAAATACTCTATCCATAAGCCGGTACCGGACAAAACTGCGATCACGTTTCTTTAAAATACAGTACAGTGCATTATGGAACGAACTTCCACTTAATGTACGTAGTTGCCGATCTCCCACTGAATTCCAGCGTCTCCTTAACGAGTTCTTGTCAACAAAAGAGCTTCGGTCTACTTATCCATACTTTACCCATATGGGCTGTTCATCTAACTTTGGTACTACAGACCCCAGTGCAATACCCCCAATTTGAGGAAACTCATTTGCCCCAGCAACAGTACCGCACCTAAAACGTGATAAAACCAACCCAATTTCTCCCACATGCCTTGATCTGAGGTTTGGTTATTCAGCTTATTGGAGATCTTATCAATATTTCATCAATCGGGCTTATAAACTCATAAGACTATCTATAATTATCCTGGACGTATAATCCCAAATTAGTTGTGATAGTTCTTCCATAATATAAGCAAACTGTTACTTTGTAATGTCTAAAGCACGCCATATGAAAAGTGGCCAGGAAAACTTAGCAATAACAAACTCAGCCAACCAACCATTTTCCCCAAGCTCATTCAACCTAACCTTATCTTTAATCGTACCACTATCCACTACACTCTAATCCGTCGATTATGTCTTAATTTGACCCAGTACTGAAAACTCTTCTACCTTTTACTTTTAAAGATGTTCTAACTACTAACTGCGCAGTAACCGTTTAACTAACTCACTGACTTTCTCTTCACTGTAATCTTCAATAAGTTCGTCAGTGTAATTATTTCCATAAACAATTACATTAGCAACCATATCTTTTAATATTTTACATATATGCTTATATTATTAGCACTATTTTTGAGTTGAAATGACTATCTTCAGTCAACACCTACCCATATTCATATAATTTTCTAAAAAATTCATAATATTGAAATTATGTAGTATTTCTCCATTATATAATTGATGAGTCACTTTGCAATGTGTAACGCACACCATATAAAATCGGTCGTGAAAATTTAGCATAACAAGTTCTGCTAACCAGTTGCCTTACTCAGGACCACTTTACATAACTTTATCACTAATTGTTCCACTACTCATATCACTCTGATAAATAGAATATAACTTAGTTGTTCTAATATTAGCTATTTTTATACTTCATAACTCTTAAGGGAAACCTAATTTCTTAGTCTTTTGTAGTAACCCACTTGTTCACTAGTATGATGATAATATTGCTAACGATGTCTTCTGGTATTATTGTGCCATGTGACCTAATGGGAAGCACTTGTCATGAAAGCTGTTAATGTGCAGCATACTGTATGATTGGGACGGAGTCAAAGCAATCCAATATTACAACTGCAGTCATTGTAAAAGGTCTCAGAGCTTAATGTCAAAAAAGGAGGGAGGGTGGCGCATGCTGATCAGCAGATTTGGTAGTGGTCACAAATGTGAATCGCTCCGATCTGTAGGACAGCAACATGCATTATTTTGGCAGCTCGAGAACTAAACATGAGTTTAGATACTAAATGTATAAAAAAATAGACTAAAAAAAATTAATTGAAAAAATAAAACAATAATGACTGTACAGTTTTAGCTTGTAAAAAAATAACAATGCTTTCGCTCCTAACATCTACAAGCCTGCTCAGTTTCTTGTCAAGATGCTATCCCATGGGCCATACACAAGTTCGCCAAACATCCTACAGGTCACCGTATTCAACAGGTTCTAGTCCTTCTAGCCACTTCTCTCTGAAATGTTACTTATATACTTCACAATAATCCTTCTACCTAATTACTATTATACTCTATTTTATCTCAACTTCCTAGGACTTTAATGAAGCTGAAATTTTTTCCCTCTTCTCATTTACACCCTTTTCTCGCGTAAAGTTCGGTTGCTCTGATGATAAAAACAACAACACTCATGTTTGAGAATAAATATATTTTCATAGAAAGCGTCATAGTTTTCCATGGTAAGACCAATATGGTTAGCATCATACATTGCAAATGTGTATTATCATTTCAAGTACTACATAGCTTCTTGTATTTATCTTGTAAATATACTTTTAATAATGTATTATTCATAATTGCATTCTATACCATTTTGCAGCTGCGCCAGATTTTCTTCAATTCCTAAAATAGCGTTCAAGCATTTGAAGGCATAGCACTCACACAAATATATGTTGTTTATCGATTGGTCATAACTATCATCGGGAAATGGAACGAATTTCGGGTTGTCGCTCAACTTCGATGGTGACCTTAGTGAAATATTTACAAATTAACATTTATAAGAATCTGTTCTGATTGCTTGTACTATAACTCAACAATATGAACTTTTTGAAAAAGTGACAATGTATGCTAATTAACAATTGTTATTCGTAACATAATTGATCGTGCCTGTAAAAATGGCATGCATTTCATGTAAACTTACCCGTTTATACGAAATATATATTATTATTAATGTCAGTAAGGACAGAGGCTATGTAGTTTCACCATAAATCAAAATCATGTAATGTAAATAATACTTATCCATGCCTGTACAACTGGTGTGTCCTGCATAGATAGGAATAAATATATATTATTCCCTGGGTTGATGATATGATTGGATATGCTTATGTTAGGGTTATTGGATTTACTGCTGAGAAACCTATCAGTGACGGGTTTGAGTACAGGCGTTCTGGATGGTAGGGTTACATGCATGCATACTAATCTGGGTGCCTCTTAGGGACCCCCTTTTTAATGGTCCACGCTCAAGCTTAGCCTTTTGCGCAACAGTTCATAGTGATGATGCGTCTAGCGAGCATAACTCTAGAAACGCATCTAAGTCTATGACATTCGTTGATTTCTTGTTCAGTTACTAGGAAAAGCGCCATTATTTAAGGGTATTTTATTTGCATGAGTTTCTGGAACATTACGTTTCCTAAAGTTGAGTAGACAGAATCTTTTGTCGGAAGTTTTGCGGTTTGATAGGATTTGCGACACTTGATAAATTTACATGGCATTTATGGGGATTAGGTAAAGAGGAGATTTGAAATAGCGTTTGCAGTAATTAAGCTCGTTAATAAGCACCCAGTAGGTGTGTTTGACATGACGACCCTATGTCAAGAGGAGTTTCAACATCATGCTCACCTATGTCTATCGAGTTGGTGTGTGTTGTTTTCGGTGAAGAATTAGACATTGGAGTACTGGATTTACTATAGGTTAAGGCATTTTTATTTTTAGTTAAGCTAGAAACGTGGGTAGGGATCTTTATTCGACCTAAACTTGTGCATGTATCAAGTGTGCTTAGTGGATGCGGGTGCACTACACTTGTGGCGGCCTAAAAACATATCAAATTATATGTTCACGAAAAAAAGAAGGAATTCAACCTAAAAACCTTGAACCGCGCGGAAGGAACGAATCGTTCGCCATCTCTCCGGCTGCTCGCCCAGCACATCTGCTGACCAACGCTGCCTCGCACTGGTTGACACATCCCCGTCAAGAACTTCGCTCCTATCTGCCTTACTCTACGTGGAGACTTCCGACGGGGGACAGCGCTAAGTTGTAGTGGAGAATTTGTATAATCAAGAGAAGGACAATTACATTCCTATAATTTCGTACGTCTATAATTTGTGTATTTTGTGACTGTTATAGTTTTCTTCAAATAACCTCAGTCCCTTTTTGTGTATATTAACTTAAGTGAACCGAATATTTTATATATACGTATTTGTTAGTACTTGTTCTCTCCTTTTAATTGCGTTTATATACTTACCTAGCTACTAGGTGCACTACACTTAATTGGTGAGCCCGTTTTGGAACACGGATTGTTTTCCCGTATCTATATACTTATTTTTGCTATTTTGTACTTTCATTGCAAGTTTTTGTTGGTGGTCTCATATTTGTATTCCCCTTTGTATCAATATTCTCACACTTATAATGTCGTCACCAATACTCACCGCCATTGCAGACTTAGCGGCAAGGCTTGACAAGTTGGAAACACATAGATCTGATCGACGAGTCGAGAGGCGGAGTTCACAAGCACGGTCACAGTCACATAGAAGATCTCTCTTCCGGCAGCGGTCCCGAATGTCTTCTAGGGACAGTAATATATGTTGGTATCATAGGAAGTTTGGACGTCATGCCTTGAAATGTGTCAGACCGTGCATCTTTAGTGAAGAGAACCAGGCTCAGGGGAAACGTCTCAACCAGACAGTGATGGCGACAGCTGTTACTGGCAACCATTCAAGTCGCCTTTTCTACGTGAAGGACAAAACCACAGGCACATTATTCCTGGTAGACACAGGAGCCGAAGTTAGTGTAATACCTCCTTCACTCTCCAGGCGATCTTCTAGCACAGCTGCAAAACTCTCACTTCGAGCAGCTAACCAAACTAGCATACGGACTTACGGCGAACAATCACTTATTTTGGATCTTGGTTTACGTCGTCGATTTACATGGATATTCATAGTAGCTGACGTTAGTCATGCCATATTGGGTGCCGATTTTTTAAGCAATTTCAATCTGCTGGTTGATGTCAACAAGAAAAAGCTGATTGATAACTGCACCCAGCTTCAAGTCCACGGAATCATCTCAAACTACTCTGTTTATAACATATGCATCGAGAAGCCAGATGACTGCATGTTCTCTGCATTACTGCATCGTTTCCCAAAAATTTTAAAGCCATCTTATAATATCGAAGATGTTCCTCATTCTGTCACGCATAAAATTGTCACAACTGGTCAACCCGTCAGAGCACGTCCTCGTCGACTACCACCTGACAAGTTAGCAGCAGCCAAAGCTGAATTCGAACACATGATGCAATTGGGCATCATCCGGCCATCCAACAGTCCCTGGTCCTCACCATTACATATGGTACCAAAAGCTGAGCATGATTGGCGACCGTGTGGGGATTACCGACGTTTGAATAACGCCACTGTTCCAGATCGTTATCCCATTCCCCACTTGCATGATTTCTCTCTAACACTGCAAGGTAAAACTATTTTCTCCAAAGTGGATTTAGTCAGAGCTTATCACCAGATACCAGTTGCTCCAGAGGACATCGAGAAGACAGCCATTATAACACCTTTTGGCTTGTTTGAATTCCTACGAATGCCTTTCGGGCTGAAAAACGCTGCACAAACTTTTCAGCGCTTCATGGATCAAGTCACGCGGGGCCTTGACTTTGTATTCGTTTATATCGACGACGTACTAATTGCTAGCAAGTCGGAAGAGGAACATAAGAATCATCTTAGCACTTTGTTTCAGCGTTTCGAACAGTATGGTGTCGCGATAAATCCTAAGAAGTGCATTTTCGGTGCCTCTTCTATTCAATTTCTGGGACACTACATAACTGCCGAGGGAATCAGGCCTACTGAGGAAAAGATAGATACAATCAAAAACTTCCCCCAACCAGACTCTTTGAAGAAAGTCCGACAATTTTTGGGGATGTTTAATTTCTATCGACGTTTTATTCCTTCGTGTGCCTCTATCGTCCAGCCTTTAACCGATCTCCTTAAAAGTGATCCTAAAAAATTTCAATGGTCAGAGCAAGCACACGAATCTTTCTGCAACGCGAAAGACGCTTTATCTAAAGTCGCTATGTTGTCTCACATCAACCCCGACGCATCTCTTATCTTGTGTACAGATGCCTCCCAAGTAGCTGTGGGCGCGGTGTTACAGCAGAAGATTAATGGTGACGTTACCCCACTTGCTTTCTTTTCGAAGAGGTTAGAACCGGCTCAGACAAGATACAGTACTTTTGGGAGAGAATTGTTGGCTATATACCTAGCAGTCAAACACTTCAGTTACTTACTACAGGGTCGTCATTTCACTATTTTTACCGACCACAAACCTCTGTGCTATGCTTTCACCACTTCGCTGGATAAACACTCCCCAAGAGAAGCCAGACAGTTAGACTATATCTCCCAATTTTCAACTGACATACAGTACATCAAAGGGGACGCAAACGTGGTAGCTGATTCTCTTTCAAGAGGTGGTATACACCAGCTTGAAACTTCAGTAGACGTCAGTCTTGACCGCATGGCTCAGTTACAAAGAGACGACGCAGAACTTCGAAGTTGTCGTGGAAACTCTTCCTTACAGCTCAGGGACGTACCTATTCTCTTGTCAGATGCCACTATAGTTTGTGATGTATCTACCGGCACTAATCGCCCGTTCGTTCCTCTCCAATGCCGAAAAGCCTTGTTCGACCACTTACATTCGCTCTCTCACCCTGGAGTACGTGCCACCGTCAGACTCATCAGCGAACGTTTCGTGTGGCCTAAAATGAACTCTGACATTCGGAGATGGGCACGAGAATGTCTCCAATGCCAACGCTCCAAAGTACATCGCCACACTATCACAACGCCGAAAGCGTTTGATTTACCGGACAGGAGATTTCAGCACGTTCATATAGATATCATAGGACCATTGCCAACGTCAAGAGGATATACACATATCCTGACAGCCATTGATAGATTTACTCGTTGGGCTATTGCATGCCCCCTGAACGATATATCTGCCGAAAATGTTGCTTTGGTCTTCCTCGACCGCTGGGTGTCAAATTACGGTGTACCAACTACTATTACATCCGATCGAGGTGCTCAATTCCAATCGACGCTGTTTCGTGAACTGACGAGACTCCTGGGAGTTAAACATATCTCCACAACAGCCTACCATCCGGCAGCGAATGGTCTTGTGGAAAGATTTCACAGACAACTGAAAAGCTCCCTGATGGCACAGAATGATGCATCTAAATGGAGTGAATACTTACCTCTGATTTTACTTAGCATACGATCAACTGTTAAAGAGGACCTTGGTTGTACACCCGCACAACTAGTTTACGGCACTACTTTAACACTGCCAGGACAGCTAGTAGCCTCTCATGACTCTCAAAATGTGAATATTTCTGAGTTTTCTGATCAACTGACCAGACGAATGTCACAGCTTCAACCAATAGCTCCGAGACAATGTCCCCGCAGAGAAAACCTAAGTAGCCATCTACAAACCTGTAAATTTGTCTTTATACGGATTGACAACGTCAGGAAAGGGCTACAACCTCCATATGAAGGCCCATACCCAGTAGTGCATCGCGCGGAAAAATATTTCACAGTGAGCAAAGAAGGCAAAAAGATGACGGTCTCCGTGGATAGACTCAAACCTGCCTACACAGATGCCGACGACATCCCAACAGCGACTTCAGCAGACAAACTAGAAACCGCCAAAGCTCCAGAGGTGCCAATAATGCTACCTCCCCCTTGCATTACTCGTAGTGGCAGACAGGTTAATAAACCTGCCCGTTTTGTACACTTTACTGATTAATATCTTTAAGGTTGTAACAATTTTTTTTTACGTATACATCATTGATTATTGTTGTTAATTATTGACTTACGTAGTTTATTTGTGTCAGATACGACATCATTTTTTGTGCCGAAGCATTGCTATTTTTTTTTTACTACCTCAGTACTGTATATGTGTATATATGTATTCACAATTGTTCTCCCATAATTACTACTATATTGGTTAGCGTTTTAACGGACATTATCCTTATTATTATTATTAGTGCCATTCAGTTTGATGCCATCGTTCCAATTAACATTGATCTCTTTCGCAATTTTTTTTTCTTTCATGTGTCATATAAACAGAGCTGACATATACTCACCTGTGTTTATTAAGAGAATATTTTTTTTTTTGTTTGTTTTGTTTTGTGTGCGTGTTCACTCTCCGTCATATGTATCCATTGTACTCCCACCCACTTCCAGTTCAGAAGTTGATGTTGAACTATTCACTAAAGCGTAAAAAAAAAATCTTTTCCATTTTTTTTTCGTATTCTCATAGTGTTCTGTAGCATTATAATTATTTTTCTTCTCACAATTCTACTGCAAATCGTCGGTAGCAGTTCCTCCGGACTTCTAAGAGGGGGAGCCGTGTGGCGGCCTAAAAACATATCAAATTATATGTTCACGAAAAAAAGAAGGAATTCAACCTAAAAACCTTGAACCGCGCGGAAGGAACGAATCGTTCGCCATCTCTCCGGCTGCTCGCCCAGCACATCTGCTGACCAACGCTGCCTCGCACTGGTTGACACATCCCCGTCAAGAACTTCGCTCCTATCTGCCTTACTCTACGTGGAGACTTCCGACGGGGGACAGCGCTAAGTTGTAGTGGAGAATTTGTATAATCAAGAGAAGGACAATTACATTCCTATAATTTCGTACGTCTATAATTTGTGTATTTTGTGACTGTTATAGTTTTCTTCAAATAACCTCAGTCCCTTTTTGTGTATATTAACTTAAGTGAACCGAATATTTTATATATACGTATTTGTTAGTACTTGTTCTCTCCTTTTAATTGCGTTTATATACTTACCTAGCTACTAGGTGCACTACACACTGTCCCTGTATTCATGCAAGGGGGAGCCAGCACTAGCACTTTAGGAGTGTGAACATCCCTACCAGCTGTTTTTTCAACGCTGGGGATAAAAAATGATTGGATGCCTGTGATGACCATGGTTTATTATTCGACCTATTGTTAGGTACTAGTTGTGTCCTTGTATGGTTTTCGTGTGTACTGCTTTGTGGGTTAGTTCCCAGCAGACTTGTACCATATATCCGATCAAAATTTATTTGTGTGCCATACAGTGAATACCCGGAGTTGTTGGTGGTCGAGTTCTGACCATTGCCACTTGCACTATTGAGGGTGGCATTGTTGTGACGTAGGTTATCAGTATGTGCCATGGTGCTATTTCGCAAGTTGTGGGTGCTACTAGTATTGACCGTGGGAAGTGTCGGCCTACTTATACTGCCATTGTTGCTGTTGGCATGATTTGGGGTCATATTTTCCTTTTTAACCAATGAACTTATGGCTGGGAGAGGACAGGGTCGACTTTCGGGGGCCTTTGACTGTTTTTCTGGGATTATTTAGTGACACGTCTATATCTACGGTGATAGGTGGTATACTTTTATTAGCTATTTGATTACAATTTAGTGGCCTTTCGGTTGGTGTTTCACTCTGAGGGGATAATTCTGTGTGGTTTGAGAGGGGTGGTGCCGTGGGTTCTACGGTGTCTCCCAGAGGGTTGGGTAAAATGGCTGCTTGAAATGTCCTATTATTTATTCCACAATTAGGCTTAGTGAAATAATTGTATGCACGCCTTCCTATGGCTGTCTTCTCTGCCGCAATCTTTGTTAGTTTGTAGTTTCTGGCTTGTGATAGTGTGTGTTGGTAGTGGGGGAATTTTCTGGCTTCTGCCGGTGTTTCGAACTGAAAACGAATAGGACAACACTTTTCATGTTGACTCTTCTTCAGCCTATAGCACTTAGTCTTGGAGTTGGGCATTTTTGCCTCACTAAGTAAGATGCGCTGTACCCATTTTAGTGTCTCATTGTCCGGAACGTTGTAGACAATAGCATTTAGTTTAGCATCGAGTCGTTTTGTTACTTCTGTAGTAACAAAGTTAATCAGGTTATCCACCTTAGATACCGATTCCGTGTCAAGTTTGTTAAGGTTTACAGTTTTCATGAGGATAGTTAAGGGTGTCAGTTCACAGACCTGCGATCTGATATCGCTGATCTGATCTGATAATTTGGATATTTTGGTAATGGTTTCAGAAATTCCAGGATTTACTGACTTATTGTTTTTATTTCCCTTCACTTGGCCTTAGGTTCTTCTACAGACAACTTTAGAAGTTCTATTTCTGAAGATAGTACTGAAACAGAGCTTGAAGTCTGGAGTTTATCGATAAGCACATAAGGTGTAGGGAGGGGTTCTGAATGAGAAGAGGGTACTGAATTTTAAGGAGTAATGCTAATACTAGCTGTCAGTATAGTTTTATCCTCAGTTCCAGCTTGACGCTTACGACATACAAGTGAGTTATGTGGCTCACTGTAACCATTTGAAGGGAGCGTGTTGCTTGATGTAGCGATCAAGGACGTAAAATTAGTCATCAGATTTACAGGGGATTGAGTTCGTTGCTTTTTACTTTGATTAACCATAACTGTTCGATATGAGATTTAATGGTTACAGGTATAGAAGTAGTATAGTATTTGTGTAAGGATTACAGCAAGATAAATTTTATGTAACAAATCAAGCAAAAATGTAACGCAGACGTTGAACGTACTGCGTTAATGTCAGGGTTAAGCTTATGGTTGCAATTAGGGATAGATTTATAGTTGATGTCATTTATTTTTATGTTTTTAATTATCTACGTTTTCCTGGTAAGTAGTCGTCTATCCTGTTGCTGGCGTCCGATCGGTCAAAGGTAATTCATCCGTTCGCCAGGTAGTATCCGTTAGGTTTGCTAGGGTTTAGAGTCATCAACATTATGCATTATATGAAACATTTTTAGGGAGTATTGCAAAACTTGGCCTTCATTATTTTGATGTTGTTGTGTTCTCTGAGCTGGAGAGTTAATTTGCGAAGCTTTCATCACCCTACTGGGTGACATCTTCAGCGCATACTTCAATTTGAAGTGAGCTTTTAGATTTCTCCACGAGTTTATTAATCATCTTTCCTGGCGACCTTGGACGTGATTGGTTGTTTTTGTCTGTTTTCACACCTTCTAGGTTACTTGTATTGTCACTCATTGTTTCTTTGGCTTGAACTTTGACCCTTTGTGTGTGACGTTTCTTTCTTATCGGTTGATAAATTTTGTCTATCTCGATGTGTCTATTGATTGATGATTCACTGGAATGCCAAGCTTCTAAAAATTCTCTAGCATTCATGTTGTTTCCTCTGTCTAATATCTGAACGTTGTCCCAGTCGAATTGATGTCCTTGGTTGTCTGTATGTAGTGATATGAGGGAGTGGATATCATGTCTTTTGACAGCTAGCTTATGTTCGTGGATACGAAGACGAAGGGGACGTCCACTTTGGCCAATGTAGTGTTTTTCGCAGTTGATGCAATCTATTTTGTAGATGATGTTGGTTTTATCCTCCTTCGCTGTTGAGTCTTTTGGTTGACATAGAATTGAGTGAAGTGACTTTGTTGGTTTGTGTACGACGTCAATTCCTAAAGATTTGAAGAGTCTTGTAGTGATTTCTGAGATGTCTTTTATATATGGTAAGGCGATTTTCTTTGTGCTTTCCTTGGGGGCTTTTGGTTTGATAGGTTGGCTTGGAGGTATATGTCTTTTGATGAAATTCCTTGGATATCCATTCTTTTGGAAGACGTCCATGAGATATTTTCTTCAATCTTCCTTGAGGTGGGAGTGCTGCAATGAGTCCTGGCTCTCTTGAATAGTGTTTGTATGCAATTCCTCTTGTGTGCTATTGGATTGTTGCTGTTGTAATTCAGGATTTGGTCTGTGTGAGTTCATTAGAAGAAAACAAGGCAGGTAGTTCAGCGAAGATGCACTTTTCAGTGAATTCATTTTACCTAGCGGTACAATCGCATTTGTACACAATTTCTCATGAAAGAGAGCAGCTTAGAGACTGCGGGTATCGACGTTCGCGAGTTGTACGGATTATACTAACGCAAGATCTTATACCGACAACTTCTATAGTGTTCGTTCTCCGAGTACCAAAGATAAAGCAAAAGACCAGATTTTGTCGTCCAAAGTACGTAGTATATTTCGGGACAAAATCGCGGGTAGAGGTGAATGCTTAGCTAGCTAGGAATCGTGCACGCACGTGACACGACGGAGTACCAAATGGCGGGGATGCTTGACCGTAAGCCTTCAGCTAAACAAGTCGACTTAAACAGTGATGGTCAGCATCCAATGTTGAGTGATGATTGCTGTGGTTAATAATTTTAGGGAATTATTTACCGCTACAGCAGTAACAAAATTGATAAGTAGTCCCAAGCATAGTTGTTAGTGCCAATCAATGCATAAAAGGAGTTGAATGACTTAAGTGGAGTTACGTGATAAGCTGAGTAGTTCAATGAACGAGTTGTAATCAGGGTGCGCATATGAACGAGGCTGACGAGGCTGTGTGGATTGCCATGGAAATGAAAACATATGGTACAGAATCGGTGGGAGCAGATGAAATGGGAGTACACTCTAAAAATTGTAAACTGGATAGTCAATAGTCTACTCCTGTTAGCCAGATAACTACCACGAAAATACTGATGATTCGTCTTTCACGATGTCACCAGCAGCATTAGGCAATAAGTACTGCTGGGAACATCATCAGTAATAATGTAAATTCTTACATCATTGGCATTCCTTTATGTTCTGAGGGGAACACTGGCCTTCAACAGCATATCTCTATTTTGTATTACTCTCTGCTGTCTTCCTCAGCTGGCCCCACGATTGTCCGTAGATGCTCATCTCCTCCTCTAACGATCTCTTCTACGTCACCGTCAAGTGCCCAACTCTTCGTTTCCCACTCAAAGGTCTGGCGTCAGATATCATCCAACGGTCTTCTTAGTGTGTGTCCGACCCATCTTCATTTTCCTCTGCATATTCGTTGAACGGTAGGTTCTTAGTTGGTTTGTTCCTGGAGATTCTTGTCACTAATTCTTTCTGGCCATCTGATATTCGCATCACACCGTGAGTAATAATGAGGGAGAGATTGAATATACTGCGATTAGCGATAGCCAAGAATTA